AAAAAAAAAAAAAAAAAAAAAGGTAGAACATCGGGGAGGACTAACATATTGCCTTTGTCAGAGAAGCAGGCATCAATTTACCATAATTTCGATCAAAACGTTTCATTTTCAGCCAAATCAATGCCTTTTATTAGACCACATCATTCGCACCTAATTATATGAGACGCATGTGAATATTCGTGATGTCAAGCATATGGGGATTTTGTCTTCAGTACGCGTGTACCGACCAGTTGGTTGCAAGCCAAGCTATGGGTCACCTGATGTATAGAGACTATAATAGACTGTACACAGACTACTCTTGAGCAGGAAACCGGTGACAGAAAAATAAAGAAACAAACTGCAAATATAGAGAAACTTTATTTGAGATATAAAGTCACCAGACAGTTAGTACATTAATACAGCACCGCAATCTTGATACGAGACCAATCCGTAGAACATAACCTCTTAATACAAGGTTCAACACGTTCTTTGAGCTATTTTAAACAGACATATTTTGGACTGGCTTGAAATGTTATTAAAACTAATAAGTTCGAGTAGTAAATCTCGACAGCAATTTCCAAATAAAATCTTCATTGAAAGAATACCTAATTCTTCAAATATAAAATAATTATCAAATGGCAAGCTTTTAAAGAACATCACAAGTTAACAAAAAGGAAGAACTCGAGAGGTATGAGTTAATGCTAAATGCTATCTTTGAAAAACAGCACACATAATTTTGGGTACAGTTTTGAGTTTTCAGACTGACTATTAAACCAAAACACGCTATATATATCCCTGTAGATACAAAATAATAAGTCTAGAGCAAAGTATCATGATGTCTACGGACCTGGTTAAGTGTAATGATAGCATTATAATATCTTATATTACCTGAAAATTTGAAATGACAACAGTTTAATTACAATTTTCTGATCTCGGAAGGAAATTACTTTGACAATTTGCTCCAAGAGATGTTAGATTAAATAAACAGATATGACATGAAATGAGGAGGTTTTATGTACAAATGTGTTTTAAAAATACATTATCACATTGACACACACACTCAGATAATATACAGCTGTTTTTAATATCACAACATATATTTCATAATTATCGGTTCAGAAAACACCTCTACCTGTTATATACTGATTCACTTTGATTTTCTTTCAAATTTAAATTTTAACAACTTTCAATTTTGTATACAGCCCACTAAAATTTCTGGAGTTTCTTAAATCCTAGTTTTAAAAAATCAACATGGCCTGGTTGAGAGTTAATGTTTTTTATGGTCGTCTTGACAGCATCTCATTGATTCCTTGACTTAAACAATCAATACGGTCTAAACATTTCTGAAATAAAAATAATAAAATGAAATAAATAAATATGTTTTTAAATAGAATAAATATATATCATCAATAGCAATGTGACATTCAGTTGATCAATATGTAGGGTAAATTTCACACACACTCATACATAATCATCTGTTAATAATCACTTATCTAAGGTCTTCTGTCTTAAATTATCAAGATGTTCATCGTCACTTATTTAAGGTCTTCCGTCCTAAATAATTCAGGTTAAAGACACACATGCACAAAAAAAGGAAATAAAAACAGTTTTTTCTTCTCTGTGTTTAAGACTGGTTTCTGTCAGGCAGTAAAAAGAACCATTAGCACCATCCACTCAGCAGACCCACCTGTACTTTGGTAACCAAGGTTTTCCTCCGCAATCTGCCCTCATTATGAGACTCAGGTATGCTAATAGAGTCCAGCCTCTCCAGGATCCTCATATAGTCTTCTGTGCACATGCCTAGCCTCTTGCTCAGCTTGGCCAGTGCTTCCCCCTTTAGGTCCTTGGGGAAGTAATTCTAAAAGAAAATTATAAGAAGACTTTATTTAATACAGGGCTTGACAGCTACTTTTTTCTCCTCTGTCCCTTTTGGGCCAGTGAGGTCTGGTAAATATAACAAGGGTTACTTGGTGCTTTAAATTTTACTTGCCCTTCTGGACAGTAATCCCCTGTGATTCACTGGCCCCTAGATGGGTTTTCATTGCCCCGGCCCAGAGGTCCAACTTCATGTCCAGCCCCTTAACAGTTTCACTGGATTTGTACACTGTTATAATTATAATTTTGAAACAAATATTTCAGGAAAATTATATCTATACTTATTTCCATCAATTTTAAATTTCACCAAGATGTGATCACAAAACACAGAGGAAAGGAGATTGTTGACACATTTCTACATGCACAAAGGTACTTAAGGTCAGCAAAGATATCCACAGTTAAACTACTGTAACCATTTGACTATTATTTGTATATTCCAGGCCCTTAGCCAGCAATTTTAAAGTTAAAGGATTTTTTCTGAAAAAGTGGACTTTTTACCATGAAACCCTTATGCACCCAGATTAAAGTATATCAGAACAGAGATTTTACAAGCAAAAAAGGAAGGTTCTTTCAACCCCCCTCCCCACCCCTCCTCATCTACTGGCCTATATTCTTTAAATATTGAAGGACATATTACTACAGGGGCAGATCTACAGATCTTTTCTGACGACCTTATCTTTGTTGATCCATGCTCCATTTTTTACCATCTGACATAAAAAATTAAATGCTTGTCCATGTAAAGTTGAAAAATTCTGATCTTCTGTACAAACACTGTGCTTTCCCTTACCCTGTGGATGCCATCCAACTCCAGTGTTATCTCACTCTGCTTCTTCTCTGTCTTTTCCTGTGCTTTTTCCACTGTTGACAGTTGGTTCAAAATTGCATCCTCAAATGGACTCGGCTTAACAAAATAAGGAAGAAAATGTCAGTAAGACTAATATGATCCATATGCAGTTATATATAAAAATTATGTGTCAGCTATTTAAGCGAAAGGAATACACATGATTTAAAGCAGTGTCACAGTCAAGCCTGAAGAGACAGACACTACCTGAGTATTTTGTGAAATCTCTTTTTGTGGTGATTTTTTCTAACTTTAAAAACATTTAAGTCTTAAAAATAAATTTTAAATGCTTCAACACTGAAGTTCCCTTTTTTTTAAACAAAAAGATGAAAGTTAGTGGAAAGTAAATGACACAAAACTAATTTTGTTTACCTTTTTGCCAATCAGCATTATTTTTGAATCTTGCTTCATTCCAAGTTTACTCAAATGTTCTGATGGGTCTTTGAGGGATTTTCCTGAAATAATGGCAACAGAATTAAAAATGTAAATGGTTTCTTTATAATGCTGTTTCTAGGTCCATTAAAAAAGGGTCAAATATTATCATATGTTCAGAAAAAAAGCATAAGATCATTCATGGTTCCAAAAATGTTTCTTTACTGACATTTAAATAGTAGTTTTACTACAATTTTTTTCTTCTTTGTGAACCAAATGAGTGACTGCTATCACTAAAATGTCATTAAATTAATTTTCTTCCTTTGAAATGAAATCTGCATCTTAACCATCTGTTAGCACCATTATTAAATAAAAACATTTCCAGGTGTAGCCTACCTTTGAATATAAGTCTCTGTCCTGGGATGGGGACTCCTGTGGCTATGAACACCTCTTTGGCCAGATGTCTTACTGTCAGGACATCTCCAGCTTCTTCAGTGGGCAAAGCCAACAACAGGTTGTGGTGACTTTGGCCTAAATGAAAAGTATTATCTTTTACATTTCTATTTATTTATTTATTTATTGTATTCAAACTGTCTGTTATACTGGTAGAGTAGTCTTAGTCTACCAAATTTGTCTACCATCTTGAATAAATTGGTTTTGTATTTCATAAAATTCGTTCCAAATATTAACCAACTGGATTTCTATTTATTGACAACAGTGATATTCTAAAATCAGTTTATGAAGAATTTTGATTCATTAGCTAACCACGATGACAGTCAAGTGTGTTCTGTCTTTCTACATCCTTCACGTACAGTACAAATGCACATCGACCAGTGCTGTTTACATTATATACTAGTACTGTATAATTTACATGAATCTCACATCTCCCATCACTTGGCACATTTTTTCTTGGCAAAACCAAATTCTGGAAATTCCAGATAGGGCAACTGTCTCGCCTACTTCAGACTTTCTGACAGCCAGAATTACAGTTTTTTATACTGTGTCCAATGCTCACATTTGGGCCCGTCTCCACGGTAGAACAAGATAGGCAAGAAAACATCTTGGAGCCGACACCAGTTTACATTATTATCACGTCTTCGTCTCAACATCATGACATTATTTATGTCGCCTACAGGAAACTCCTATAAACAAAGGCACAATTATAAGCAATGAGATGTTAAAAACCATATTTACCATGAACAAGTTTGAGTCGTAACTCGTTCACTCCGTCCGCTGCCATTTCTTATCTCAAAATCCTAAATCACTAATGACGACGGAGGGTACTAACATTGACGTAAAAGAAACATAAGCACCCTTTGCACTTTACATGGCACAGTAACATATAATTGTTCAAAATTAGCTAATGTGAGTAATATTGATGGTATGAGTGCTCATATTTTTGCTGAAAAATCCTAATTTTATAGTTTTATGGGGATGATGGGGATGATGTTGTTATAGTATCCATTTACGATAGTTTGAAGATGGCGGATGTTTTAAAAGACTGCATTTCGAATTTGAAGACATTAATCCGTAATTCACACTCTCTTGGAGAACAATTAGAGTCCATCAATGTTTTAGTAAGTATTTCCATGTTCATATTTAGAGGTGGGTTATGTTTCTGTTAAGCACTACAATTGCTTGTTCTCTGATGCTTAGTATTTAATAATTTTTCCACGTCTCTCTTCATTCGGTCTCTATCTATTTTCACTTTCTTCAGTTTTCGGTCTTACATGCTATGCAGGTAAGTGCTCCTTTCACCCTTTGTCAGAAATTCTCGAGAAAAGCTGTGAATTCACTTATAAATGGTAGTATTTCTTTTATGCTTGGAATAAAAAGATCGAAAATCCAAATTGCTATGTGATGGAGGGCACACAGTTATCGAGTAAGGGATATAAAATCTGGTACTCATCTCAGGATGTGGATATTTGTAGCCTCCAGAGTTTGAAACAAAAAGTGGAATGAGTTCTTACCTGGATAGTTTTTAAAGCCTGAGGTGACATTTTTGTGTACTTCTCTCTCATTTTTAGAGGGATTTGTCGATCTCTATGCTAGGTTGTCTTTGATTTCAGGGCTCTTGTCACTGTATAGAGGAGAGATGGAATACATTTCATTCTGCGATGCTTCTTCCCTAATTTTCCTTCTCTGTTTTGAGAAAATATGTTCACTATCAAGGCAACATTGGAAATAAATGTCCTCTCTTTAATGAGTTCACTGTCCTTGATGATTTATTTATGTTTGATATATGTCTTTCATATTTTCTAACCAATTCAAACACTTACTCACTCATATACTAATAGCAATTTCACCATGTTAACGGTATTCACCATATCCCTTATGATAAATCCAACAACAAGGTAATTGGTAGCTTATTAATTGGTTTTGTTTGGATTTTTTTTTTTTTGGTAACTTGACCTAAAATGACCTTTTTTAAGTGGTAAATCACAGTAGATTAATTTGAAGCATATGCAATTATTAATATTTATGTTTATGGTCCCACTTATTTCACCCCAGGTATTGGCTATTAACAGATATGCAGCAGATCCCATGTCTTCTATGATAACAAATGACTGTGGTACTGATATTAGCAGTCTATATGATGTCACAATAACAGATGGAGCACTGAAGATGAAGTGTGTATTCTCACCAAATCTCAATGAGAAGATTCAGAGATATGAGGTAAGAGATGTTCTCAAGAAAATAAAATACTAGTACTGAGATATATAATCATTTATCGTGTAAAAAAGGTACATGTAAATAGAGGTGAACATATCCTTGTTTCAAATAACAAGGGAGACTGACGCACACAAAGGCCATTTAATTTGGTTCTAATATGTTATAATTGAATTCTCTTACTCCAAAATTATTTCTGATAATAATGATTAGATTAAAGCAATTTTGATATTATTTAAAATGTACTTACTAATCAGAACTGGTAATAGCCATCTTTTTTAGAATTACATTTTTTCTGTGTGCAATACAACAAACATGCATGCATACACACAACATGTTAGTTATGTACTGATTTTAAACATGATTGTCTTGTCTTATTCACTTTCAGATCTGTGTTGGGAGTCTGGTGACACTGGAAGAGTGCGAGTTGAAGGTCAGCGAGACTGACCTTGACCTGGACAGTGTCGTGGTCATAAATAGTGTGACGGTGATACCATGTGACCTGCTGTGGCATAGGGTAATACCAGGTAAAGTGATGTAGTTGATGATCTCTTTACTAAAGACATTTCATGGTCTCTAGGTAAAATAAAATGTGGTTATCTGGACTTGGAGACTAAATAACAAGCCTTACACCATCCCAATCCACCATCTGTGGATCTTGATCTTTTAATTTGTTTTGAGACCACTTAATTTTGAATTTTGCAGAACATTTTTTGTCACACAGTTTACTAGTAATTAGAACCTAATAGTAAGCTACAGTGGCCTTGGTTAAGATTAGAATAAACATTTTTGAAAGGATTTTTTGTCCATTTTGTTTTCAGAGAGACTTGAGTGGCATTCTTCTGCCACAGAGAAAGAGAAGGCAGATATACCATTGCTGGCCAATAGAGGGAGCTACCTGTCTACGTGGAATGTCAGTGATCCCAGTGGCAGGTTATGGCAGGGAAATGGTATGTTTACAAGGGCTTTGACTCCAGCAGCACTGGAAGCCTCTGGTGATAATAATAATAATAATAATAATAATAATAATAATAATAATAATAATAATAATAATAATAATAATAATTTATGCACAGTGCTGTGTGGAGAGGATAAACTTAACATCAAATTGTAATGTATTGTATTGTATCACATAACATTGTATTGTGTTGCATTTGTATCACATAGTGTTTTGTTGTATTGTACTGTATAGTGTCATACCACATTACTTGTATGTTATATGGAGGCACAAGATAAATTATAATTTACTGAAATTCTACTCTCTGTGTATTTCACTTGCAGCATGTCCCAGTTTCATTCCCAGTGGTCACAGTGACGCTGTAACAGTGAAGGAGCTGGCACAGCAGTGGAAATCACTGAAGCGCCCTCTATCTGCCATCATAGTCAGAGTGCTCTGTAAATCGAGGCTGCAGTCGTATCCTAGGCCAGGGAAGACAGACAAGTGGCCTTATCAGGTTTGTTTATCTTAATGCAGGTAATGCTGCTTTGTATTTTTTGTTATTATGTTTTTACTTTTTGTTATATATTAGACCACAAGTCAAAGATCTTAGATGCATTAACAAAATGATATTTCAAAATACTTTAGACTAGTAAAATTAAAAGTAAAATTATTGAAAATTATAATTATTATAATTTTTAATTTCATTATTATTATTATAAAAAGAAGTTGTATTCACCCCTTTGAAATTTTACTTAGACTATAACATAGAAAGGCAACCAACATTTCTGACAGTGTACGTTGCTTTTGGGCTTTTTTGTCATAGATTGTTTTGTAAAGTCGGTATAAGATAAGGCACTGGATTGTGAATTTGGTGGCATATTTTAGGCATATTTTGAGGTTGCTGACAGAAGCGGAGCCTGTACTGTAATTCTGTGGAATTCACTTTGTCCTGAGCTTTACAAAAGGTAAATCAGTTAATAGTAGGCAGACAATCAGAGAACTGTGATAATTGTTATGAATATATTTTTCCAACCAAATACTTGTTTAGAACTTTGTCTATATAATGTTTTAAGTCAAACTTAAATTGGTGGGCAAATTTATTGGAGTCTTGGGTTGAATTCTTTGAATGAAGACATTACAGTTAATCTTTGAAAAAAAAAATGAACCTGACAGAAAACTATTCACAGGTTAGAGTGATTCTCTGACAGATATGTATTGATGTTAGAATACATCAACTTGAGCTGTTTTTCTGCAATGGTTATTTTCAGCCAGATGAATTGGCCAATTAATGTTTCAAAAGTTGAGTTTTTGAATTTTATGTCAGCATCCAGGAGGGCTCTGTCCTGCGCCTCGGGAACTACAGAGTGAGGGAGCGGTTCCAGATGCACACACGCCCCTCGCTTCGTAACAATGATCTGGAGCAGTTTGATATCGAGATCAATGTGAACAAGCACCACCCCGTTGGCGAGGTACAGATGGTTCCCCTGGCCTGTGTGGACCAAAACTGGCACCTGCCTGACTTAAAGTACAGTTTTGCTAATAGGAGGCAGCTAGGGTGGGTGTTGACTGTTGGTGGGTAGATGTTTAAGATAATGACAGAATGCACACAAATAAAAAAAAATTGTTCTTTTTTAAACGCTTACTGTGCTACTCTTTTTGGTTTTAGTAAATGTTATCTGTACTGAATGCTAAAATTTGTCTAGAAATTCCCTTGACCAGTAAATATTCTTTTAGTGAGATGTCCCCTTGCCCCTGAAAAGATGTTTTCATATATCACACTATATTACTCAAACAAGAAATGAATTGAAATTAATGACAACATTGTTCCTTTCCAAGTGATATGAACATAAATTGTCTTAAACAGTCACAGTGGGTACCTGAGCTAAATATGGAAAATACACAGTCAACCAATTTCTTATTTGTTCTGAAAATACTGTTATCTTCTTCATTGCAGGAGCCTCCCAGAAGATAGCAATGTAGACATATGTGGTATTATCACTTACATATCAAGGTACTGCAGACTGAGAAGGAAAGGTAACTATAATTTAAATATTTTACCAGGACTGTAATATGAAAAATTGACTTAGTGTGTTATGTTCTCATATTAAATGTTAAATGGGCCAAGTGTTGGAACATTTACATTTGTCTTTTGTCGTTTTGTAGCTTAACAGTATTTTGCTAAGTGTTTGAGCATTTGTAAGTACAGGAACTAGTTTTTGACTGGGAATGTCACTCCTTCAAGTAGTCCAAATATTCAGGCATCAGTGCCCCTTTCTTTTCACCTAATATGTAATAGATATCATGGAAATGAACAAATCTGATATTTCATATACTGTGTTATAATGTTAAAAATGGCTAAATAACTAGATAAATAAATAAACATTAATTTCAGGGACAGGGTGTGAGGGAGGGTTTTGGACAATGCGTTGGTTACATGTTCACGATGAAAGCAGCAGGCAGCCTGTGATAGTCCAGCTGTTTTCAACTTCTCAGGTAAAAGAAATAACCTTTGATTTAATACTACCATTGAAAACTTTTGTTGAAAATGCAAGTTTTGTTGAAATAAGTTTTCGCACAGATTTTGGATGGAATTTTTTTGGATACTTTGGGAAAATTATCTCTAAACTTCCTAAATTGATTTTACAATAAATCCTTACTAGATTGACATTTAGCTATATAAAGAGAGACTTAGTTAAAAAAAATGAACATGTATAACTATAAAGTGTGTGTTGTAATGTTCCCAGCCTGAATCTCATGCCCGTCTGGCCCCTGGTCAGATGTTGGTGTGTACACAGATGAGGGTGATGCAAGGACAGCTCCACACATCTTATCAACAGAGATTTATGTATGTGACCACCACTAATGAATCTCAGGTAGAGTATTGTGTGGCTGCCCAGTTGGTGGGGTGGAGAGAGAGAGAGAGAGAGAGAGAGAGAGAGAGAGAGAGAGAGAGGGAGGGGAGGGGGAGAGGGAGAGATATTGAGTGACTTCAAGTGATCTTTAAGTTTAACCCCTAAATGTTTTTCATTTGTAGTACTGGACCCTCTCAGTCTTTAGATAACATAACTAAAATGTCTGCCATTCTTATTCATAGTAATTATAATTGATAAATGATGACAACAAAACTGAGGTTTAGTGAAACATTAACCTAAATTGCCCAGTATATTGCAGTTTTAAAATGGTTATAGTAGAAGCATTTAATAAATATTAGAAATATAATATTCAGATATGATTTTCACCTAAGAATCACCCTTATTCATCATTCTAGGTATATACGACTGGGGACCACCACAGAGGGCAATATATGACCTGTCCACAGGTCAAGGCTGTCATCCAGTGGTGTCAGAGGTCAGAGGTCAGGGACATGGTTTCCATGGCAACAGTTGGTGGTTACTATGACTACCCTCCACTGCCATATACTCTTTTGGAATATAAAAACTTGTTTAATGAGGAAAAACCATTGAGGGTGAGAGAAAAAGAAAAAAGTATTATTGATATTAATATAATTCTAACTTGTATGAGAAAGAACAGTTTCATTTTTACCATTTGATCCTTATCAGATACACTCTGATGACAACTGCAGAAATAAAGGAGGCCATACAATACAGTTTCTCAGATCTCTCAATATGAAGATTCACCAGTGTGTGAAGTTTCAACAAGTACAGAACTTTTTAAATATAGATTTAGGAAATATATGTATATGATACCTGTGTGATACAAATATTTCAGGTAACAACCAGTGACAACCTAGAGACAGAGCTGAGGGATCTCTACTACAGGGAACAGAAGAGAACCACATTTCAGGGACTGATAGTACAGGTGAAATATGTACCCCTAGACCACACCGGAACTGGAGAGGGAGAGGAGGAGGGGGATGGAACGATGGAGGAGAGTGAATTCACACCAGTGGCAAGCAGGCTCAGGTAATGGAAAAATATGACAATTTTGTAGAAAGTAGATCCTATAATGATGAATGGTGCTTTGGATCTTTATTCCACAATCGCGATTCTGTGTGCTATATAAACTTTAAGCAGATGAAACCTTTGAAGAATGAGAATAAGAAGCTTAATTGTAGATAAGTACACTAGTGGAGCAGTGGATAATTACAGTAACTGTAACTTTATTTCTTTCCAATAACAACCAGCATGACATTGATGGTACTCATAACTTTTTATCAACAATTTTAAGGACATTAGTAAAATTTTGTGTTTAAGAATTTTTTGTACGTAAATAATGTAGAATTTTTTAATGAGAAAAACAATGTGTGCCATGAGTAGAAAATTTGTCTCACTTTCCCAAAATCTGTTCTAAGGTCCAAGAGAAAACTCAGCCCTGCTGTGGCAGCCATGTCTCCTTCAAAAGCAACAAAGACATCACCTGGGCAAGCTTCAAAAAATTCTCCGCCCAAGACTACAGGGAGGTCAACGAAGAAGGCACAGTCACCTTCCAAAGGGAAAAAGACGTCACCGAAAAAATCGGGCTCTAGAGAAGTACAAGACCAATCAGCAGCTGTGGACAGGGAGAATGAATTATCGTCTGAAGCAGTGGTGAGTGCTGGAAAATGTTTTGTTGATTAGTGAGTTCAGAAAAGGCTTAGTTTCATAGCATTGGGAACTGTCAGCTTGGGCCAGTATACATGTTAGTGTAGTTTCCAGCCATTTGTAGAAATCTCCTCGTCTTGTTGTATACAGGGAACAGTTTTTAGCATGCAACTCTTCATACAAGAAAGAAGTCCCATCAGGATGTTCATTAACATTGCTAACAATTATGTGAACACTTCCATTAATTTGCCCCTGTGCGTTTTTGAAAGAACTCATTTTGAACATCAGAGGACAGAAGGTTTAACTTAAAAATTGTTCACTTAGCTTTGTTACTGAATTTATCGATTATGGGAAAATTATGAAAAACATTTGTGAGAAAAATGTCATCCCTTCATCAGATAAAGATGTCAATTGAAAACTTGGGATATAGCATGGCTATAAATGTTTTTTAATTCAATTTTGTCACCTGCAGGTAGAGCAGCTGGTGGTTGTAGACCCAGTATGGCAGAGACTGCAGGCTGTTGTGACTGTCCTCGGCTCCACCAGGTGTCAGCACTCTACACCAGTACTCCACAGTGACATGAGTGCAGTTGAATTGAAGAAAATTATAGGGCTGCCACCTGATCACTTCTCACCAGCAGACTTTGAGGATTTCTCTTACTCTGGTATTACTTTCAGTTTTATTCGAATAGAATGTCAGCATTAAAAAAGCATCAAGAAAACTTTAATATGAAGTGATTTCAGTATGAGCCTTTGATGTGCCCTGTTTAGATTTTTTTTTAAATTTTATTTACTTGTTTTTGATACACTGCAAGGCAAATATATTTTACAGAAAATGTTTTGCCATCTCACAGATGTGCGTGTGTGTGTGGCATTATCCTTGATGGAATCATTTTCATTTCTTGCAGATTTAAAAAGGCCATCATATGGAGGGCATCTTGTAGTGACAATATTAGGGCTCAATGAAAGAGTAGCTGTGAACACCATAGTCCTTTTACCACCCCACCTTTCACAACACCAAAACTTTACAGACCTCTTGGCAGGCAAATTGGATAAAAGCAAAACTGGTAGAAATGAAAGTGAAACTGATGAAAATGAAAGTGAAAGTGATAGGTCACCCACATTACAGCAGTTGATGGACAGTGCCAGAGCAGTGCAGGGAAGGAGGGTGGTGTGTGTGATGGACTTGTACTCTCTTGGAGAGGGAGAAGAGGTGGAAGTGATACTGAACAGAGGCTTTATAGCTTCTTGATAAGAAACTGACCTTTATGCCTTAAACTTTATATAACAGCAAAAACAAAGGACGACCTAGAATTTCTGGCATTTTTTTTCCTAAATCACCAAGGTGCATCTTATCTAAAACTGTTCAGAAAATTGCAATCTAGTTGTACTGGGTGTGCACCTTTTACAGAGCATATTTAGCTTGCTCTGAAAATTTTGCCATATTAAGACGTATAACTGGTGTCAATGGGCATGTATCGATTGTGTGCATTGTAGGGCATTACTGTAAATAAGAAGTGATAGTATTGGACTAAAACAGATTCTATAAATTTGCATTTATTCATTTATACATTTACATATTTTATATATACAGATTTTTAGTGCTATAGCACCATTTTTAAAAATAGTTCTGTTCTCAGTTTTTAATTCATTTACATCTCATTTTCAGTGTTAATGTTATACATATTTTAAGCACAAAATCTCAGATTTTGTTTCATTATTTTAAATAGCTATACTTCAGTAAAACATTCAATTAGGAGACTTGATTGCATGTTCTTCATTCTGAATTTTTACTTAATAACAAGTAAAATGAACAATCTATGGCAGATCATTACTTTCTGTTTTGCTAAAAAACGATTATGTCATTGTTGTTCTTTTATTTCTGATGTGCTTCAGTGAAGTTTTTTCTTGTAGGTTCCATTTAAACTTCAATTTCTTTCAATTAACAATTAAGGTTAAAGCATGAAATACACAGTTACTAACATCCTTATAGCCCTACATGCCGGACCCCAATGCTGTAAAATGGTCATTACAAGAGAATTTCCAGTCAATTTTGTACATAAATACTGAGAATGTATTTATTATTTAACTGCATTTTTAGCTTTTTTATTGTTGATAATCTGTCTTTCTGGCTAAAACCTTGTCAGTTGAATGGGAAAGTTCTCTGTGACAAGGCGGTCATCTTGGAACACTATTACAATGTTGACTTCAAATTCTGAAATTAAAGAGAAAGCACCTTATATTGAAGAACAGCTTTCAACCATTACATCAAGTCTTGTATGCTTTTCACTTTATTTCTGGATGAAAATGATTACTTAACTTCAGTAAAAGCAACGACATTGAAAGCAATTTTCTAGACATAAAACATCAATTCATGGTTTATCAAACCCTTTATATTAAAATATCACCCACTTGATAACAAAACTTTTCCTTATCCAATTAATTTTTTTAAAAATAAATATTGAAAAATTTTGTTTGACTCTACATTTAAAGAATTCACAATTTCGAGTCATGGCCATTCAGTTTTTATACTATGTAAAATCTTTATTGCTTAAATAATAATTATTGTTACTAATTAATATCAATTCATATCCTTACCAACTTTGAAGTTATTAGTGGCCAGTGTGGGACAGGTAAAGAGGCGAGGAAAGACCATATAAATAGGAATACTTATACCACGGCATACATCCCCCTCTGCTATCTGGATGTTTTGGATCTCTGTGGCTGAATTATAATAATAATTATAATAATGATGATGATGATTAATGAAAAATATATCAAATATATGTCAAAAATATAACATCTGGACTGAATGTTAGTGCATTTCACTTGCCACGGATTATAGTAAATGCCAGAAAGGTAGTACATTACATAACACTAAATTTTCTAAGTGTTAACCTCTTTAAAAAATTATCTTTTCAAGTAAAGCAACATAAATCATTCAGGGCCCTTTGAAAAGAAACATAAAAACAATTAAATGCAATGAGTTCTAATAAACGAGAAAAAAAAAAACATTTTTTGGCTGGGCCAATTCCTTTAGGCTTAGACTACAGAAATTCCATCAAACGGACTGTCGTACCATCTTTAGCATAACCCTCTGCACAGCCGCATGTTTCCACTCTGACTAACTGCAGCTCTATAGACTTGAGTGGGGCTTCACTGCTTTCTACTGTTAACTGAAATCAAAGGAAAATGCAAAAGTTGAAAGGGAAAACATAAGCAAAAATTCTATAAAATTTAAAATGTAAGAAAACCTGGATGAGGTTGAAATAATTGTTAACAACTGTTATCCATCCTGAACAACTGCCCTTTGTGAAATTCACATCAAAACTTGTGAAGACGTTTTGAGACATCATGTCTACTAACAAATAATTCAAGACCAATGTTAACATAACCTTCATCTTGGCAGAGGGACTGTAATGTAACTTGAGGGTAAAATTATAAAATGTATTAACTGCACTATTGGTACAGAAAACCTATGAAAATATACAGACTGGAAATGAGCACCTTGAATTTTAGTAAAGGAACTGTTTTATAAAATAAATAACTCAATTATTAATCCTTTTGATGAAAATTAAAATAAAGAATTTTCTGTTTTGATTATCAACGTTGGAGAAACTTTACCTCTCCAGTGAAGGGTTTGGTTATCAGGCAAACTGCTGTATCTAGCTTTCCCTTCACCTTGAATCTTGGCACATTCACTTTCTGAAAGGAAAGGACATCAGAACTTAAATATAGCTTCATATTCTGAACCATCTGATGTGTCCTTCACTGTGTTGATGTAACTTGGAGATAACTTATTTAAAATGTAAACGACCAAGTAACAAAGTGTCAAAATCCAAAGAATTTTTTTTTTTTGATAATGATTACATAGTGGAATAAATATTCTGAAGAAAAATAATGTGTGTGCGTGCATGTTAGTTTGTGCCAAACCTCTTTCACATTCTGTAAAGTCTCTGGTGATATCGTAAATTGCACAACTTTGGCTTTGGCTTTTTCTTCTTGTTCCTAAAATGTGAAAAACACTAGAGTCAAAGAAAATACCCGAGTCTACCAAACTATATTCTATACAACTATAATGCATTATATTTTACCTGACTTGAATTTTTTCCTCTGGCACATATAAGAATGTTAGGTTAAGAAAAATACCGAAGTTGAAACATTTTGAAAATTCTGACAGAAGAAATACTGTGCCAGGAAAGTTATCTATTGTCAAACTTTAACTTAATATTTCTCACATCCCTGAATCAAGTCTCAAAAACCCTTCAAATGGTATTCAGTTTATGCACTATACTTACCTTGTATTCTACAATAAACTCTAACTGTTTTTGCAAGTCTTTATTTAACAGTGACCTCTTCATGTCTACCTTAATGGTATACTGTATAAGAAAGAAACAATAAACAATGAAAATTCCTATGAAATGTACATGTACCAGTAACTTGTATGAATGTATCTGTATAATAATGATTTATTTTTATCTTTTTATTTGAAGTTTGAGGAACTACTTAAAAATTTGAAAATAAAAAGATGAAATAATAACTCCTTAACATCTTATGTCAAACAATTTTAAACTGCTGCAAAGGTTATAAAAATATATTTAATCCTGCCTGCATCATTCACAGAATTAACCTACTGGTGTGCCAAGTTACTAATAATGATATATCTCTCACTAAAAAAAATACATTATCTGAATAGAATTTCAGCCCATAAAATTAATCCTATTTCAAAACAGCTGTAAGTTACATTCATGTAACTATTTAGAGGACCCTTCTAATACCTGAATATTGACAAAGACTCCATGATAAGTCTCATACAGTGTCTTATTGCCTTTGGGTTTGAGAGGAACTTCAAACGGAATCTCTGTCTTCCCTGATGGCAGTTTGCCTGGCTTGGCAATGTCAAGGTTGTAGTGAAGGAGTTGGATTGGCTGTGGAAATAGAAATTGATAAACTGTTACTAGAAATAAAATAGTTGATACTTGCTGTAAAATAAACCTCTCTCTGAAAATATATTTGCATCAGCAAATCTCTGTCTAGTAAACTGCTAGTTATGATTTTATGCACATGTAAGTTACCCTGGGCCACGCTCGGCTGTCACCTTGATTGGATAGTAAACGGTTGTCGTAAAATCGCTAAAAGATATTAAAACCCGGTGCATAAACTTGAAAACCACCTAGGACAACCTCAGACTGCCACATTAATCCAATACAATGCAAAAATAAACTATAACAAGTGGTTAAAGCCTTCAAACCGAATGTCGTAAAGTCCCCATATACCTCCATAGAGACAATAAAATAGAATAAGCTTCTGAAACAAGATAAATCCAGTTCCAACATAATAATCGAAATAAAATACTGCCGGGCATCGGAGCGGCCTAAAACTTGGCACGCTTACCGCTAATACTGCAGGCTACATCATCCCGTCGCTCGTTTGTAAATTCCGTGCATGGCATACGCACAATCAAACCGTATATCCAAATTCCACCTCTGATGTTTGAATTGGTCCTCTCTACAATCCAATTCAGGAAATGACGTAACCGCAGAGGTCGCATTGTCCAATGGCATGGCTTCTTTTTCGTAATGGTAGGTTAGAGAGGACCAATTCAAACATCAGAGGTGCAATTTGGATATACGGTTTGATTGTGCGTATGCCATGCACGGAATTTACAAACGAGCGACGGGATGATGTAGCCTGCAGTATTAGCGGTAAGCGTGCCAAGTTTTAGGCCGCTCCGATGCTCGGCAGTATTTTATTTCGATTATTATGTTGGAACTGGATTTATCTTGTTTCAGAAGCTTATTCTATTTTATTGTCTCTATGGAGGTATATGGGGACTTTACGACATTCGGTTTGAAGGCTTTAACCACTTGTTATAGTTTATTTTTGCATTGTATTGGATTAATGTGGCAGTCTGAGGTTGTCCTAGGTGGTTTTCAAGTTTATGCACCGGGTTTTAATATCTTTTAGCGATTTTACGACAACCGTTTACTATCCAATCAAGGTGACAGCCGAGCGTGCCCTGGGCCATTTTCACTTCTTACTGCTGTAATGTTTTAATAATTAAAATCTGTGATAAATAACACATTCTCAAAACACCTACTTAAAAGATAAGTATTATCATAGTCATGAATCTCTAATCTTCCCATTTAGTAAAGAATGTTCTTTTATAATTCAATGCAAAACAATATCATATTCTGACATCTTGAAACCAGTTAATTGTTACGTACCTTCAGTGAGTTATAGAAAGCTTCAAAGAGTCCAACACTTTTAGCACTTAGTTGCAGTCCCACATTTCCCTCTACGGTCAGTGTGATGCCCTGGTGCTGGACACTGTCCTTGCTCTGGATGACCACTAACCCGGCCACCACATCCTGAATATAAATTATACACTATTATACATACAGTGTGAACTACAGTGTATATCCATAATAATAGGAGCAATGAAACAGCCTTAGGACAAATATCGACACAAGGAAAGTTCTAGTCTTGCCAAACCAGAAAACAGACAACAGGCCTGCAGACAGCAATCTCAAAGTTGGAAGTAAGGGGAGATCCCCCCCTTCTCCCCACACCCAACCCTTTGTTTACCCATCACGAGAAAAGACAGAACTAAGATTACAGACAGAACCTTAAATTTAGATTCAAAGCGGTACTTTTCCAATCAAAATTGTGCTTGGTCCTTTTGCCCTCCCCCCCCTCCCCCCCCCCCCCCCGCCCGCCCACTGTGCCTTTATTATAAGATGTACTGTACAGTAAATAATTCTAACCCTCCTCAATAAAAATGCCCCTTCCACTCACTATTCATACATTAACTTATTTATGAATATTCATTCCCCGATATACCAAACGGCCAGTAAAAATATAATTTAATTAAAAAATATAACACAATTTGAATGACAGAAAATGAGTCTAAGAGCACGACAAGAGTAAAACTATTCACGTTAACGATGTCACGAGTTGTAGTATTTACGGGTCGAACACGTTTTCTGTTAAACACAAGGTTGCAATAGCGCAAAAGTTGTATTTTGTCGAAACTTACTAAAAACATGGATCGAATTTTTGCATACAATGTTGCTGCAGTATCATACTCACCCCTTCCCTGTAGATTTTATTTACTTTCTTTAATCGAACATCGAGCAAGGTGGCCATTTTGGCTTGTCTTGGAACGCCTTACTTCCGCATTGGCTGCTTAAAACAACGAAAATAAAATGAGATGAAAACCAGAATTTGACAAAAACAGACAAAATTACAGAAATATGATATTATGAAATTCAAAGTGATCGTTAATTGGTTGTCACTGAATCATTCTGAAATTTTACATATGTATACTTAAGAGTGAAGTATATACGTTTTAATGCAGTAAGCGATATCCCAAACCGAGTTCGCAAAAAAGTTTGGGTAATGTAATTCAGAGTACACTGCATTTCTAAGCAGGTGTTAATATATGTTTATTGAGTTATAAGAATGATTAGGAGAAAATCCCGTGCTTGAATTAATTTATTATTGCAATACAATAAATAAACAGACATCACTCCTATCGGGGGAGGTAAATTCAACAGCCATTCACCCCGTCCCGTTGCCACCAGCGGTTGCTATGGGTGCTTGTACACACCACAACGTGCTACTACAATAATAGTATTGGATCTTTGCTACTTGACAGATCGGAGTGGCGAAACATTGACAGTGGATATTTAGGTGACTTTTGACTCCTACCAACAACACAGGACCCACGATTTTGAGCCAAAAGAAGAAGGCGGACATTAGGATCTATATTTATTCGCAACAGAGCTTCCAGGTGAAGCACAACTGTGTAATTCGGAAGCTAGAACTCAGCTGATCGCTTCACCGCCAAGGTTCCCACCATGGCTTTGACACACGATGACCTCGAGCAGATTATGAAGCAGGAGTTTCCTGACTTTACGTGTATATGTGAAATATGTGATTGTGGGTAAGTGAACATATACAGTATGTCTGATATATAGCAGCATATTTTTATATTATACTGAAGTACACTAGCTGTGCGTAGGCCTTCATAAAGGGTACGAGTACTCAGAGGGTAGAGAATGAATCCCCCCCCCCTTAATCACCAATCACCAAGATTAAAACAGCTCAATCACCAAGATACATTCTGGCCAAACACCAATCACCAAGAATTCCTGAGTCACGTTTCACGCAGAATATATATATTGGGCTCAAATAACACGTCACGCTCGAAAAATAAGGCCAATCACGCGGAACGCAAAAGGTATTCCTATATCCTCTACTCAGAGCATGTATTGCACCAGTACTAGCTCAGTGGTGATATACAGTCACAACCATACTGAGATTATAATTTTCTCCCGACTTTAAAACATGCTTTTCTAGATTTCAGTGTAGTTTTAAAATAACATGGTTGCTATATGTATATCTGTGTTTGATGACAGCATGAAAAGTTTCAGGTGGAATGTAATCTTTACAAGCTATATTATAGACCTATGGTTTGAGGAGAAGAGTACTCTGAATATAATGGTGTACCGGTAGGATCTGAATTTGTATATGCCTCTCTTCAACAATGTGTGAACTTGAACCCGAGTTTAGATGTTGAAGATGAAACTTTGTGTCCTGGCATAACACAATATTAATCTGGATATATCTATATGTACTAGAATCGGGGCTGTAGCCAGTATTTTTTTTTTTATTTCTATTTTTATTTTGAAAATGTTGAGTTTTTACCACCTTAGTTGATTGAACGTGATACATGGGATAGAACCTAGATAAAATTGTGATTCAGATAGGACTTTTTTCCAACCAAAAGGGTGATCCTTTTAACCCCCACCCCACCCCAAAAGCCCCTGCATGCTTACTTGTATAAGTATGCATCTTGCTCATGTTTGTATGTACATTTGAATATTATTTTATTTCCGTGCCTATAAGTGTTTTCTTCTTATTTATACGTACAGTATATCATTCCCGGATTTGGCTCTAACCAAAGGCGCACTTCATAGGGCGTGAGGGAGAATAAGAGGAGGTGGGGGGATGGGTGTAGCTGTATATCATACTGTAGTATTCAACAATCCACAGACCAAAACCCTGACTTGACTGGAAACCCGCAAAAAACATGTGTAAAGCTGTTTTACTATTGAAACTTACAGCAATATTGAACCGTAGTCTTATCAATTCGAGACCCCCCACGTTTGCTAATAAAATTGATAGCGAGCGAAGTTATAATTTACTTAGGATTTACACCAAATATGTACAACGTAGCAATCTTGAGGGTTTATCATTTAGGAGTTATTCTCGCGAGTCAACCGTAATATCTAGGTCTATAGCATTCCCATTTATTCACAAGTGACTAATTCTGTTTCTCCTTTCAACACCAGCTCCAAATCTCCGTATCAATATTATCCTCTTTCAAACTACAAATGTAACAACGAAATTTCAATTATTTGCACCGCTGATTGTAGGCCATACACAGTATGTGTAAATTAAATACTACTGGGGTGATTTTCAGGTCCTCAAGAGCGTTGAGGAAGCTGCTGGAATTCACTTACGTTAATGTGTTTATTGCTAGTGTTGTTGTTGTTCCAGTAAATGTTTGTCGCAGGATGTTTACAGTCCCGCTTTTATCAAATAAAAGGCATGGGGGACTTTGTAAATAAAGTGAGTCCACTAAAAGTTTCGTCTAAGCAAGTCAAGTGCATTACGGTTCAGCAAATACCCTAGTCCTTTATGTTGCAAGGTGAAAAAGGATTACTAGTAAGTGTATTTGAAGTGTCTGGGTCTGAGTTAAGGGAATGTATTCTAGATAGCACAGCCTACTGCGCCCGGGGGATTCGGTATCATTTGACATTTAAGATAACCAGAGATAATGCAGGTGTTATGACCACAATTAAGCGATATGTACCTGGATGGTTAAGAATATCCTGGCTGATGACTCGGATACAATATACCCGAGTCTACTAGTAAGTTGCTGACACAATAACAATTTAGTCAAAGGTACTCGTCCTATTACTGCTGTGACGTGAGTCTATAACTCACTATCATGTACGTATGGCACGCCCCTTCCCTACCCGGGTTCCTCTTTTTAAGCGCCAACCACGTTTTAAACCCATTCCCCGAAAGAATGTTGATACACACGTCGACCTTGCAAGTCTTCTTCATTTTATTTAACCAACATATCTGTTTCCCTGTCATTTATGGTCAAATCAATCATGTACAGTGTGTATGGTAAGCCTCGCTCCCCTGAGTTCAGTTTTGAGCGCTGTAACTATAAAAGACTTATTCATATTATTTAGCCAACATATCCACCCCCCTGCTATTTTTGTTCATATTGTACGCATAAACTCCCATATAACAAGGCCCTTCATATATTACAGTGCTGCAGTATTCAATTTGATAGATTTAACTTATTAAAGTGACAATGTTGTTTAAACGGATATCCCCTACCTTTTTACTGGGTTATTTTTTATACTTGCGCACTCTTTTACAAACACGACTTTAAGCCATTCGCAGTAAATTTACAATGGTTTTGAAAGTATAAAGCTATCTACACTGGCGATCGATTGATCAAATTTGAGTGTTTTGTGAAAGGGTACAATAGCTGAGTTGGGGTCGATAAAGTGTGTTAGGAAGCGTCAACAAATCACAGTAGCCCCTATTTATTTCATTTGTGAGTGTAAGCGACAAAATATATCAGCAATTAGTGAATAGGTGTTTTTTATCACCTTTAACGTGTGGTCGATTTGGAATTGTAGAGACACAAAGCCTACAGCGCATTAAAGATTTTCACTGCGTGGAATTGTTTCCTATTCTTTTTCTCGTATTTCACAATTAAGTTACGCATTTGTACTGGTACAGATGATCCAACAATTGAACGAACGTGCAAGCAAAAAACAGATTTAACCATTTGAAAAATATCCCAGTTTTGACAACGAAAAAAATAAATAAATAAAAAATTTTGATAACTTCAGGCGTCATAAGCACCACAAGAACTGCAAACGAGTGGGCAAAATAAATAAGCGTCGTCAAAAGCAATGTCTTCTAACGACCAGCCAGGAGACATTTAAAGCCTTCTCCGCCCGTCCCCGCTCCAGCAAGAGACCGCCACAGACACCACGTGACCCTAACCCACCCCCCATGATGTTCAAGACGAACCAGAGGGATGACTTCAGACCACACGGTGAAGTGCCTAGGGTCCAACCGTTTGCGTTTGTAAGTTGATTCACACTGTAAAAAAAAATTCATAAGAATATCATGTTTTAAAGGAATGGTTTTGAGTGGTGTCACGAATGTAAAAAGATCAAAATTACTACCGTGTCATTTTTGTTTCAACATAAAGTGCGTAAAATTAAATAGAAATGGCTGTTGTAACAAAAAAAAAAAAAAAAAAAAAAAAAAAAAGGATGACAATTTTATCTGGTTTCTTTGCAGCCTGACACATACGAGATAGACAAGGGACCTTTTCAAAACGTCACTTTCTACAGCGCCGAATATGGTCCAAAAGAGCTCCCCTCAGAGACAATCTTGCGCCCCACTTCCCAGGGGAGGTACATGAGGAAAACGTCGGCAAAGTTAGACACACGGACGACCAATAAAGAATCGTTCAAACACTGGGTGCCGCAGCCAGCCATTCGTTTCGGAGAGCTTCCAAGTTTTACAGGTCGGTATTGACGACATTTACTCCGGTATTTTTTATCATGCTGGCATGCTACAGTGTGCAGTATGGTGTTATGAGAGTCTTTCTTTTCATTTCCTTTTTCTTTCTTTCTTTCTTTTTTTGTGGGGGGGGGGGGAGGTCTGTTGTTCAGGGTATTTGTACCCGTCCATCTAATAACATCATCAATTTCATCAGTATCGTTTCAAATCTAGTAACTCCCTTCAAGCTGATGTTATTTTTAGATAAACAAATAAATGAATGAATAATTTCAAATTGATAAATGATTTCATTTGAAATATTTCAGGGTCGGTGTTGTACCCAGAACAGAAGAACAAGCTACCACAGAGCACGCAGCAGCAGTCCTACCCGGGAGCCTACGCCAAGAAACTAGAACCGTGCAAGATCGGAGAGGGGGATATTAAGTTTGAAGGTGCGTGAAGATACAAAGTGCAATACCCATGTTTTAGTATGAAATCTTATAATTATCATTTAATTGAGACAAATATTGGTTAAGTTTGAAGGTACGTGAAGATACAAAGTGCAATACCCATGTTTTAGTATGAAATCTTATAATTATCATTTAATTGAGAC